CACTATTGTCTGCCAGTCAGGAAGCCTGGAATTTGAAGGCCTCCCCTGAGTTCTCTTGGCTGTCACCCCTCCCCCATCACACACACACACACACACACACACATTCTCATCCTGCCCTAGACAGCCAGATCTTTCCTCCACTTAGTGGGTGAAGGGAGAGCCCGGAGAAGCCAGAGACTGAGAGTAGAAGGCCACTACACCACGCAGATCTCTCTAATGAGGTCATTAAAATGCAAAGACAAACCAAGTGGAGTTCAGCTGAAAGTGAAAGGAGTATCTTCAGGCCACCTCCTCCCCCAGCCCTCCCCCAAAGTAGTGTCCTAAGCGGGTCGAAGAGAGCAAGAAGATTTCTCTGTTCAATATTCGCCGGGGATGCTATGTTCTCTTACGCTGGTGTGCCCCAACCTAAGGCAACTGGCCTTGGAGTTAAACCTCAGCCCCTCCATTGGCCAAGCTGACTTGGGGCTGTTTCAGGCAAGCCAGGTACAGGTGGCCTCGTATCCACAGGTTCTGCATCCCAGGATTCAACAGAGCACGGGTGAAAAGTGCATACTATGTAGTTAGCAGTGGTGGTTGCATCTGTCCTGAACATGGACACACTTTTTTTTTCTTGTCTTTATTCTCTAAACAACAGAGTATATAATGACTATGTGCACAGCACTAGCATTGTGCGAGCAACTGTAAGTCATCCAGAGATGACTTAGAGTGTGCGGGAGGATATGTGTAGGTTGTGTGCAAATATTGTACCATGTTAAAATAAAGGACTTGAATATCTTCAGATTTTGTATGCAAGGGGGGCCTGAAACTAACCCCCCACCCCTTAGGGATGGCTATATGCCTATCTCTTTTCTAATTTGCCCAGCCAGAGGGGCACCTTTTCTTATTTCCTGATCCAGAAGAAACACCTTTAGATAATCTTACAAAATTACTGTGTGGGCCAGCAGCCTAGTTGCTTGCAAATTTCCAGACCCAAGCCACCTTTTAATCAGACCTCTGTAGCAGCAGAGGGTAAAGGAAGGAAGATGACCTAGCACAGTTAGTCTCATCTGGAAGGTTTCGCTGGTCTGGAGCATGTCACCCTCACCGAAGCTTGTGCTATTGAGAATCTGTAGCTAGAGATCTGGTGGGCCTTCCCTAAGGGTCCTGTGTCTGAGAAAGCAGGAGGAAGATGAGAGGTTACTCCTTCCCTCTGTCACAGCTCCCCTGGTTCTCTCCCACTCACACACCTAGCCCTGAGCTGGTCTCAGAACTCTAACCTTCAGCCAAGGGTCCAGCTCAGACCGAGATTATGTAAATTATGTCATGGAGGCAAGTCCTATCTTAAAAAGTGACCAGTTCCTAAATTTTAGTCACCCAGCTGGACCCCACCAGAACCAGATCACCCAGCCATCTTCAGGAATGAATTACGTTAGGATGGGCCCAGGCCTCCCAGCCCAGGGCCCCAAGGGACTGTGAGCAGCTTTGTTCATTCTGCAAGAGTTACTGAGCACTTAATCTGTGCCAGGCACTGCCAGATGAACAGACAGGAAAGAAAACAAGCAATTGCCCCTCTGAGTAATGGTGTGGGGGCATGCAGAAGGCACTCATCTTGAATGTGTGAATAAAAGTTTGACTGGATGAATGAAGTCAAGTATGTTGTGCTACCCTGACCTGGGGGGTAAAAGAACACCACCCAGAGGTGGTGATATGTGACCTGAAGGATGAATACATTTAGCTAAGTGAAGCAGGTTGTGCAAATGGTCTGGGGTGAGAAGAATAAGATGTGGCAGAACCAAGAAAAATCTCATCAACTGGCTTAGGGTGTGGGGGTCATTGTGGGGTGTGTGTAAGAGATGAGGTTGGTGAAGTACACAGGGCTGGTTGTTAAGAACATTGCCATTCACATCAAAGAATTTAGAAATGGGACTTTTAAGCAAGCAAGAGAGGTTGGCATTTTCAGGCACTGAGTTCAATCCAATGAGAATATTTCAGTAGTACCTTAATCTCTGTTTTCTGGTGATGATGGAAAAATGTGATGCCTTATGAATTCTCAGTTCTAATCACAAAAGTTCCATGTGGATAATGAGCATGTCTGTGGAGAGACATTCTGAAGGCATCCCTGTGAGTTCAGGGCGTGGAGCTGTTGAGAAGGGAAAGAAGGCAAAGTCCCCTTTAATATCTCCTGGCGCTGAGGGCGCCTCATGCTCAGGAATCCCATGAGCATGGGGGGCCCATGGATGGGGCCTGGGAACATACTTTGGAATTGAGAGTTGGAATTGAGGGCTAGAAACAAGTATCTGGGAGAGAAAGAGCGAGCCCACATGGCGCCAGGTAGAAGCCACGAGGTCATGGAAGAGAACTCACGGGAGTTATCTGGTCCCCTCCGAAAGGACTTGCCTGATTCTCTGGCCACCAGACTTTCGCCATCTCTGAGGCAAAGATTCCTGGGCCCAGCCCCAGGCTGTGACCTCAGCTCCAGCGTCTAGCTGCCCAGCATGACGCCTTCTCAGTCCCGACCAAAGCAGTAGAGATTCACCTTACCCCTGAACTGCCAGAGATGAGAAAGATACAGCATCCAAACTGCAAGCAGGAAGCCAGAGGGGGATAAATGAGTGGGAACAGGGCCTGTGCATTGTTTTTAAAGAAGTGTCACTCTAGAAAACTCCACTTGGGCAAACTTATTTCATTGCGGTCCCTTCTCCCCAAGCAAAACCAACCAGCTCACCAAACAGTGTGGCAGCTGCGCTGGGTAGAACTCGGTAGAGCTGCCTCATCACCTGGCCTGTGTGCAAGGACTCCTGGGAGAATCCACAAAAGAAAGGCCCCGCTCCTTGGCTGCAGGATCTGACCTCCCAAGCAGCGGAATTGATTTCTTATTCCTGTGGTTCTGGGGGTTTCTGTGTGTCTCTCTCACGACCAGTTGCTGAGAAGGCAGAATTTCTTAAGAAAGCCCCAATGGTCCCCCCGCCTCTTAGGGCCCAATGTACTGTGGGATAAAGCGTGAGGGCAGCAGGTTCCTGATGGTGAGGCCTGCACTAGTGTTGCGGCGCCCACATATGAGATGTCCGGATGTTTATAAATCAAGGCAGCAAACTTACATGAAGCATGTTTTCTTATTTTGGCAAATACACCCGCGAAGTGATCTAGAAGGTCAGATTTAAATTTAGAATCTCAGGCCCCTCACAGAGCTGGGTTTCAACATGGCAATATGGGGGGGAGGAGGGGGGAGCCCCTTCCTTTCTCCTCCCACCTCTTCCACCAACCAACACCAAGACGGGCCTCCGGCAGGCACATGGACATCTCAACCTGAACACCTGAGTTCTGAACAAATAGCCACCCGTGGATCTTGGGGTGCATGCATTGAAGCATGCTCTATCCCTGGGAGAACAGATCTATGAAAGAGTCCACGGAGGCACGGACGTGGGCTCAGGGGCCCTTTAAACAGAGAATCTGGGATCTCAGGTACCCAGAGCATGGTCTTGGGGGAAGTGGTTTCCAGGTGGTACACTCAGTCCCACACTTTCCTCACGCCTTAGGGATGGTGACTGCTGGATGAGTCCCAGGGCAGGGATCCCCCTTTGCCCACAGCTACACCTGATACTACTGGCAGGGGAGCCAGAGCCAATCCCCTGTGTCATCCCCCCAAGAGACTGGCCCGAACACTTAAAAAAAGCCATGTGTGCTTCTAAATGCGCCATTTCCTTCCCAAGACCGGGGTCTCTACCCCCTCCTTTCCTGCTTCATCTAGATCTGCCCTGCACAGGAATCTGGGACCCCTTCTCCATTCCCAACCCCCCAAAGCCAAGTCTCCCAGCCCCTTGTGCCAACCACCTTCTCCCGGCTTCCCCTTCATCTGACACCCAGAGAGACACGAGCCCTAGCACCCCACTTTGCGCATTCAGCAAGGGTTCCTCCACCCCACCTTGGGCATTCAGGGACTGGCCAGGTCAGCGCTGGTGGCGTGAGGTCCCCCTCCTGAGAAAACCACGCCTCACCTGTCAAGAGCACTGAAAACCAGAACTGGAAGTTCAGAGGCAAGTGTGAGGATATGCAGAAAGGTGTGTGTTTTTTCTTGTCATTTGCGACTCTAATGATGGACTCACGTTGCCCGCTCTTCCCTTTCTCTTACACCTTACCTACCTACTAAAGGAGGAGTTCTTGCTTGGTAAGTGGATATGATCCGCAAAGACATGAGAGAATTTATTAGAAGCCACTCGAGAGCCTTAGCTACCTTCTCCAAGGGGAAAAGGACACACGAGATATCCGTAGAGAGCTTTTTGTTTTTCCTTTGTTTTCAGTCAGACTATTTGACTTCCTTTTTTTTGTTTTTTTTGTTTTTTTGGTTTTTTTTTTGGCCCTCCTTGCTTTTCCCCTTTAGTTGAAAGTGACGACAATGTCCTTTTGTGACCTTGACTTTATATTAGACATAGCAAAAAACACTCATCTTTATTTCATTTCTGTTCCCCATGTGGCATTTGTTTCTATCCAAGCAACTTTTTCTTTAAAAAAAACAAAAACAAAAACTAGTCTAATTCATTGAGGATTTGGTTGACGTTGAAAATTTTGGCTTTATCTCCTTTTTTAAGTTCCAAAATATATTTTTTCCAGGCCCATAGCCCTGTTTTCTTTTTCCCCTTCCTTTATTTTTCTTATTGTTTTAGATTAAGGGTGTTTCTACCCCCCTCCCCTTTCTATTAAGTTGTCTTTTTCGTTTGAGTTAATTCATTAGAAATTAAATTTTGTATAATTTGCTTTTTCTTTTGTTTAATCTGGATCGCATGCTTTTTCTCTGCATGATACCTAAATTTTCCAGTTATCCTAGAAGGGGGTAAAAACAATCTCCTTTCTGTGGTATTCTTTCAGGAATTTGTGCTTTTGTTTTTTGGCGTCTCTTTTCTCCTCTCCTCTCTCTCTCTTTCCTTTCGTTACAGTGCATCATGACGGTAAACATTTCTTGGTTATTTAGACACAGCCCACAGACCCCGCAATCAGCAGTGTCCAACGGGTGTTTTTGCTTTCAGATCACTGGGTCGGGGTCTGCTGCTGACCTCTTTACCAAAACAGCCAGCCCGCTCACCACCTCCAGAGGACGCTCCCAGGAGTATGACTCAGGCAATGACACCTCCTCGCCACCCTCCACGCAAATCAGCTCAGCCAGGTCGAGGGGTCAGGAGAAGGGGAGCCCCAGTGGGGGCCTAAGCAAGAGCCGGGAACTCAACAGTGGCAACACCTCTGATTCAGGGAACTCCTTCACCACCTCCTCACCCCAGAACAAGGGGGCCACTTTGGAGAATCTCTCCCCCACCAGCAGGGGCCGAGAGTCAAGGTCAGTGTATCTGAATGGGAGGAGAGTCCTCCTTAGCCCCACCATATCAGTCTCTCACCCTACCCACACACCTACACCCCTGATTCTTTTATTTGCAAGGGAGAGAAAACACAATTTGAAGTGCATAGTTTTTGAGGGAAAAAAATCCAGAGATAACAGCTTCAGGTATAGCTGGATCCAGGAGCTCAACAATATATCATTGGGAATTTTCAATGAGTTGGGTTATTTCCCATTACATCTCTCAACTCTCCTCTCATCTCCATTGATTTTATTCTCAAGCAGGCAAAGCATTGGCGAATATGCCATTCAGTGACCATACTATCAGCTTAGTCAGCCAACGGAAGAAGAATGCCTCTTTCCCAAAAATTTCAGCAAAACAGAGGTCAGGTGCTTATAGTTTTCTTCACCCAGTGTGGATCACTTGCTCACTCTGAACCAATGCCACAACTCAGGGCTGGAGACTAAGATTTTCCCATACAAACTAAAATTGGGTTCTCTGAAGGAATAGCCAGTTTCTGATATGAGGATGAGGGTGGATGCAGAGACCCGGGGGAAGATTTGCTGGTGCACTCTGCCATGCTATCAGTCCCTTCTAGGAGCGCCAGTCTTTTTGTTCAAGCAGTCAAGGTTTTAGTAGCAAAAGCCTTAGTATTGAAGCAGTTAACGGCTTCTTCAAGGACAGAGTGCCCTTTGTCCCCAAAGGGCACTGGACAAATAGCTTGGCATTCACATGTAGACCTGGCTTGTGGTTTGCCTGCCCCAGGACATCCTTGGCCTCTGCTCATGCCCAAGCTTGGCTGGGAGCCAAGGTTGGGTCAGAGCAAATGTCAATGTCACCAAGAACAACAGTGATATTTCCAGATAAGAGAGCACACGTGATTGCTGATATACTGCAGAGCTATACGCAGGAGAAATTGAGAATAGAAGCAACAACAGTAAAGGCAGCTAATATTTACTGAGCCTACCTATATGCCAGGTACTTAACTTCTCATAAAACCTTTATGAGACAGGTACTAGTATAACCCTTTGTTAGCTCATGGGGAAATTGAGGCGCAGAGCAGTCCAAAAAAGTCAGTTAATAAGGGCCAGCACCAGGGTTCAAACACAGATTGGCCCTGAGAACTGAAGTGAAAGCGTGAGCTGCATCCAGGAGTTACTTGCTCAATTTGATCTGCATGGACAGATAATTTAGACTCAGCTTTTCACTTTGAAAAATAAATGGTCTTTAAATCCATGGTTATTTATGTCATATCTGCTATGGGGAAAAGGCTGAGTGGAGGAAACATCAGCACTTAGTATGAAGAGCCAGATTAGTTTGGGGGTGCTGGGAAGGTGGCAGGGGCATAGACTTTGGAGCTGGACAAATCAGGCTTTGGGACTCAGGGTGCCCTTCAGCAACTAACTAGCTCTTCGGAATCTTCTCTGTAAGTCAGGGAGAATAATAGTCAGCTTTATAATGTTTTTGAAAGGACTAAATGAAATGATGCTTGTGAAGTACCCAGGATGTTAAAAGGCTCAAAATGTTTTTTCCACAGCTATTTATTGATGACCTAGGACATATGTCTCTGGATCTGTGCTCCATGCTGGAATACTGTCCCGAGAGAGATGAGCCCTGTCCCCATATTTATGTGATTTGAACTTGACCCTTGGCCCAATGAGCATGTCCTGATTGAGAACCCAGCATGGTTCCAGGCAGGGCGTGAATAGAAGAGACAAGACTGTACTTGGGGTGATTTTGAACAATCCTTTGAGTCTCAATTCTCTTCATCTGTAAAACCGACTACACTACAGTTTCCCAAATGTAAACTAACTACAGTTGACTCTTAAACTACTACAGGGATGCCAACCCCATACAGCTGGAAATCTGGTCAAAATACCTTTTGAGGAGCCTCCCTGATGGCACAAGGGGTTAAGTCTCAGCACTCTGAAGCTGTCACCAGCCACTGCAGCACGAGCTTGGTCCCCAGCCAAGGAGCTACCCACATGATGCAGCAGACCTCTCCTGTCTCGCCCGCTGCTCCCCTCAGCAGCATATTTCAGTAGATCTGCCTGTTCTGCTCCCCAATCTGTCTCTGGAGAATCCTTTCACCCCACCCCCACCTCTGGCGTACACCCCAGCTCTTGTATGAATAAATAAAAATAAGTCTTAAAAAAAAATACCTTTTGACCCTCCCCCCAAAACTTTATAACCGTCTGTTGGTATTCTTGGGGAATTGGCTTCAGGACCCCCCCCACCTTATGAGTACCCAAACCCAAGGTTACTCAAGTCCCTTAGACTCAGCCCTTGATTTCTCTACATTCTGCATGGATTCAGCCACCAGTGCACGCTACTTTGCCGCTGTTAACTCAATCTGTGAGTGCAGAACCCAGAACCGTGGGTAGAAAAAGCCTAAGCGTGCGTGGACCCGCTGCACAGCTCAGCCTGCGTCAAGGGTCAATTTTGACCACATGCACATTCTTTTCTTACTTTAATAAGCTTTTTGAAGTCAGGAAACTTATAGCACAATCTTAACAGAAAATTACTATCACTTGCCCTAAATAGAAGGCACCTGTAAAACAGTGTATTTAATTCTAAATTTTAAAACAATTAAAACAGTGTATATAATTCTAGTGACAGTTGCTTAAGCAGTACCCTGAGCCCCAGGCCTGCTCTCCCTTTTCAGGAGGTTGCAAGTGTTAAGAGACGTAAGCCCCAGCCCAGGCCTTCTCCCTAATGGAATCGGAAGGGTTGAAAATGACCACAAACCATATAATTTGATGTCACCCTCATGAGGCCAACAACCAAAAACTGCTGCACCTCCTGGGGTTTATGCCCCACTCTTGGGAAAATGCTGGACTGGACAATTTTTTTTTTCCAGTCCTAAATGCCTTTGTTATTGAAGAAAAAAAATGAACGTGATGAGCACTTAAGTCAAGAGTTAGGGGAACAAAATAAAGCCCCAAATATTAAAATATAGCAGTTAAACCTGTGTGACAATCTAAGGCATGCCCATATAATAGAAAGTCCTAGAGCATTTTGTTTATATTTCTTTTTTAAAATTTTATTTTGCATGATTTTTTTATTGAGGTAGTGTTGGTTTACAACACTGCATAGGATTTTGGGGTATGGGCTCATGCCTCTTCAGATGTATGTTACCACATGACACCCACCATCAAGACACCCCTCTCCTCCACCACAGTCCATTGGGGCCCCTCCCCCCACTTCTCTGCACCCCACTCTACCCTTCTGGTGGCCTCAATTCTCCAGTCAGATTTCTAGGACTTGTTTTGGTGTAGTTTTGTCTGTTCCTTTGTTTTGTTTCTCTATGTTTCACAAGAGTGTGAAATAACACTGGGACACTCTAGCATCTGGATGGGAAAAGGCTAAAAGAGGCTTCTGAGAACACAACAGGCAAAGATAGGGAGGTTGGTATTAGCTAGAGACACCCCCAGACCAGGCAGCCCAGTGTTAACAGAGGTCTCCACCCCTTACAGAGGATTTCAGTCTCCTTGTCTGGAATGCACTGAGGTGAAGAAGTCCAGTTTGGTCCCATCCACAGCCCGGAGCTCTCCAAGAGAGTGCTCCCGCAGCTCCTCCTATGCCAGCACCCGTTCCTCCAGTCACTCCTCCCGATCCCCACATCCCAGAGCCTCCCCCAGGTATACCCGGAGCCGATCCACCTCCTCTGGAAAAAGGTGAGTGCAGTTTTGACCTTTGCTCTGCAGCATTTTCCTTCTTAAGGAGGTAGTTAAGATATGGTCATGTCCTTTGACCTGGGGGGGGCGGCGGGGGGGGGGTCAGTTAGTCTTTCTGAGTTTCAGTTTCCTTATCTGCAAAATAAAAACAATAACAATACTTACCCCATGGGGTTGTTGTAAGGACCATAAAGCACTTAGGTCATTGTTTGAAACATAATGAAGATCAGATATTATTGTTGTTATTGGCAACTCATATGTATCAATAATGAGCTTCTGCTGCATTAAAAAAAATTATCCTTCAACTTAGCATCTTTAAAACAATTAGTTTTTATTTAGTTCCTGATTCTGTGGATCAGCAGTTTGGGTTGGGCCCAGCTGGGTGGTTCTTCTGCTCTCTTGTGAACTGATGCATGTTTTCTAAATGCTAGTGGGTGGGCTGGGGGCTGGCTGGGTTGGATGAAATCAGCTGACTCATCTCTGCTCCATATGGTCTCTCATCTTCTAGCAGGCTTGTCTGGGCTTGTTCACATGGTGATGGCAGGCTTCCAAAAAAAGTCAGCCATAATATGGAAGGCCTCCTGAGGCCTAAGCTTGGAATAGACATGACATCTCTTCTGTCATTCTATTAGCCACAGCGAGTCATAAGACCAATTAGATACAAGTGATTGTTCTCTTACTGAGAGGTGCTGCAAAGTCACATTGCAAAGGGTGTGAATATAGGAAGAATTGTGCCCACCAAATGCACCAAACTGCATTCAATTCCAAAAACCATGTGTAATTGCTTGATTTTTTTCTTATGGAATAATAATGTAGCAGAATGCACATAAATGAGACCTTAGCAACTGGAAGATTCTCTCCAATCTAATCAATCTTTATCTTCATGGAATCCAACTTCCCTATACAAATAGGAATTTCCGATAAAATCCAACTATTGCTCTTTTGCAATCATATGATTTAAAAAAAAAACTGCTTGTTTAGTTAGTTACCTCAAGACCAGTTCATTCACAAAAAGAAGACAAGGCAGGTGACAGAAATGTTCAACAAAACAGAATGGCATGAATAGAAGAATAAGGCAAGCTAAAAGGAAAATTAAGTAAAGAGAGAGGTTAAATCCCAACAGCACGTCCTGCCATTCTGTACAATTGCTGTGGATTTAGGCTGCAAATGTGTCTCTGAGCTCCCTAGCAGAAAAAGGAAAAAGGGAAAATGTCTATTGTTATATCATTAACAAAAAAGATAAGAACTGAACTAGTTGCTTAGAAGTGCTTTTATTGCTGATTTTGAGTGTATGAAAAATGACATCATTCCACAGAAAAGGATATTATATGCTATAGTGGATGGAAATGTGTGGCACCCTTTCAATATATCTGAGAGTATATTTCATCTTTGTGTTTCTTAATTTTGCTGGGTTTGTTTAAATGTTTGATTTGGGGATAAAATTGGATTTTATAACCTTGTTCAGTGTCACTAATTACCTTGATTCTCCTCCTATGTGGAAGAATATTTATTGAAATATTATCCTGCTAAACTTGGTACCTACAATTCCTTCATTCACTCATTCAACAATCACTTATTGAGCTCCTCCTATACGCCAAGAGCTATATCAGATGTTGGAACTATAACATTAAGCAATGTTAACCAGTGTCTTTAGGGTAATCACAGTCCAGTTTTCCAATTTTATGCTGGAATGCCTTGAACTAAGTAACTTTTAGTAAAATTTTTAATAAAAACATGTATGATATTTATTTCCCCCACCAAACTGGGCATTCTTGGGGAGCAGAAATATGTACTAGTCCTCTTGTTTCCTCAAAGTCTGTCACAGCACCAGGTATACAGTAAGTGCCCAGTAAATATAGCTGACATTTCCTCATTCTAGACCTGGCCAATTCTAAACATCTTGATAATGTCAGATAAAAGATAAAGATAAAAATCAATTGTTTCCCCTAGTGACATCTTGAGAGGGTCGAAGAGTTTTAGACCAAATTGAAAATTGTCACGATCGTCCTGAAATAAATTAAGATATGAAGTGGGACTGGAGTGTCACTTGGCCTAAAATCTTATATTTCTAAGAGTTATCTGATTCCTCATAAAACTGGATCTATAAAGATATGCTCATAGATATGTTATGTGACTTTAAGGACTAGACAGTTGTCTGTTGTATCTCTAATGGACAGATTTAATCAGAAGTCTGAATTCCCAAATCTTTGTCCAACCATTTACTACAGCACAGTGTCCTCCATTGAACGGGGCACCAACCATCCAATCAATAGCTATTTACTGAGCACTTTCCATGTTCTAAAGAATGGATTGAATTCTGCATTAGATACTTGGCACTGTGCTCAGTACTTTGTACAATTCCAGTAGAAACTTCTCCTGAGCACTAATTTCACCTTCAACACAGGGCTCAGAAATAAGCAAGCAAACAACCTTCCTGACCCTTTCTTATGTCTCTCAAGGCATAGCCAGTGCTTCTCGGCCTTTTGGCTAAGATCAAGTGTAGTATCTCAAGACATAGCCAAAGAGCAAGTTGGCAAGAGCAAGCTCTCCAGGGGCCACAACTGGATACTGTACCAAGGCACTGAGATACTCCTTGTCCACACGCCTTCTATCATTTTTGGCAACAAATAAGAATGGAGTCTCAGAGTAATATTTAAGGGGCGTGGTTATTTTGATCACCCCAGAAAATCAGGGATTTACTAAGGAACATCTAGGTGAGAGCAAGTCATAATGAGTCTTCTTTTCAAGTTAAAAAGGATAGATAGGAAAACTTGAATGTTTTCATGAGGAAAAAAAGCTAAAAAACAAAGAGTATGAGAGAGTATTTCTACCACCCCTTTCTGTGCCCTTAGCAGACATTACTAATCCATCGTAGCACTTCTTCCCACTGAACATGAACATGGCCATACAATTCCCCTCTAGCCAAGGAGATCATAATCAGCATATAAGAGATGGAAATTATTTGAAAGTCTGACTTTCGAGAGATTAAAAAAAAGGGCAGATATTCCTGGGAAACTGCTGGCAAAACCAAGGCTGGGAGGCATTAGCAGAGGAGACTGGAGATAGCATATAAGTTAGAGACAGTATATAAGTTAGTGATATACACAACAATATATCCTTGCAGAAGTCAGAACTAGCCATAGAAACCCTTACCTGAGTGACCTTGAACTAATCACATCACCTCTCTGTTTCTATTTCCCCCAGTATAGAATAAGTACCTAACCTTAGAGTGTGTAGAGAATTTTTTTGAAGATTTATTTATTATTTATACAAGCACTGGGGTACCGTCCGGAGGCGCAGTGGTACCTCTCACCAGAGGATCCACCAGAGGATCCACCAGAGACAGAGTGGGGAGCAGAACAGGCAGAAGGACCAAAGTACACTGCTGACGGGAGCAGCAGGAGAGAGGTCTGCCACGCCATGTGGGTATCAGTCTCTGACAAGCAAGGGGATTTAGCCAGACTTTTGTAACAGTATTTTTTTAAAGATTTATTTATTTATGCATACAAGAGCTGGGGTACAGGCCCAGAGTACAGAGGATTTACCAGAGACGGAGTAGGGAATAGAACAGGCAGACTGACCAAAGCATACTGCTGAGGGGAGCAGCGGCTAGGCAGGAGAGGTCTGCTGTGCCATGTGTTGAGAATTTAAATGAGATGACGCACACAGAGCATTAGTTCCATATCTGGCACACAGTAAAACACATAATAATCATAGCTAACATTTCTGGTGTGCCAAGATACTAAATGCTTTACTAATTTACTCATTTAATTTTCAACTCTATAGGGTCACTACTATTATTATTCCCATTTTACAGATCAGAAAACAGAGACCCAGAGAAGTTAAATCAACTGCAGTCAATTTAATAAGTGATTGGGACAGTATGAGAAATTTGTAGAAATTATTATTCACCATCCAAAAGGAGATGTCATTTCCCTGCTAGGGTCTGGTTCTTCCGCCTGTGCTCCAGAGAGAAAAAGATTGCTCCTTGGCTGAGTAAGGTTGCCCCAGCTGAATTAAACGCGTACTCGGGACAACTCAAGAGGAGCTCAGCAGGCTCCTCAGGGGCTAATTCTTCTCCAGGTCTTACTCCCGCTCTCCCAGCTATTCCTCCAAATCTGGCAAGAGGAGCCCGCCTAGCAGAAGCTCGAGACCTCGTCGCAGCCCCAGCTACTCCCGCTACAGCCCCAGCAGGTACGAGCCCCGCCCCAGGATAGGCCCAACCCCCTGGGGCTCACTCCTCTGGCCCCACCTCCAGGCGTGGGGACGTGACTCAGCCTTCTTGCCACTGTCGGGAATGGCAAGCAGGCCCCCCAAACACCCTTGAGTGCTAAGATACCTTTGAGTCCACCCCAAACACTCCTACAGGTGAATTCATGTCACCGGCCTTCAGCCTCATCACACACCTAATAGTACCCCTCATTCCTGTATTCAGCGTACCCCAATTCTTAATCGCGTGCCACAGTCCTCTTAAAGTTCACATGCCCACTCTTGCAACACCCGCACCCTTAGATAATGCCTGCGCTGGAAGGGCTGGGACCCCTGCACACGCCCACCCCCATCCTCACAATGCTCACCCCTGCAGACTCCCCCCATAGCAGAGTCACACCCCCTCTAGCCCCCTGGGGTCCAGTGCACACCCCATCGCCTGCTCCAGTGGGGTGAAGGGCAGGGGTTAGCAGAGGAACCCTGTCCCACACCCTCGTACAGAAAAAGCAGTCCAGCCCCAGCTCCCCAGTAACCCCCAAATCCCTTCAGGGAGCGGGACCCTAAGTACAGTGAGGACTCGCAGCAGCGGGAGCGCGAACGAGCGCGTCGGAGACGTCGGTCCTACTCGCCCATGAGGAAGCGCCGGAGAGACTCCCCCAGCCACCTGGAGGCCCGGAGGATAACCAGGTGAGGCCAGGGGGCGGGTACCTGCAGCCTCACTCCCGCCCCTACCCTCCCACCGGGCCTCGGGCTCTCTCTGCGCCTTGCTGGGGCGGGATCTCTGGAAAGTGAGCTCAGCACCGCACCCCCAGCCCCAGGCCCGTCCCCATCCCTCCCAGAAGTTGATTCTCTCCAAAGCCTGGGCGCTCAGTCACCCCTCCACGCGGGGGCGGGGCCTAGGCGGGGGGGCGGGGCTAGGCCTGGTGGGCGGGGCGGTCTCCGGAATGGGATGTGGCCGAGAGGTAAAGGCCCTGGGTGCGGCCCGAGTGAGGATGGAGCCGGGTGGCCCTGGGCTTGAGAGAGAGATCAGGCCAGGGAACGAGGCCAAAGCACGGGGGAGGGCCTCTGCCTGGGACTGATGGCTGGAGGCCTTGGAGACAGGCCTCCACCCGAGACCCTCCACTCTAGACCCTCCACCCTAGACCCACCCTAGACCCACCCTAGACCCACACGCTTTAACAGATTCATGAATTATGTTATAGAGCAGCCCCGAGATTGAACAGGTTGCCTGGCTGTGGGTCCTCACTCAAAGGGACTTATGAATACTCCACTGCAGGCACACACAAAAGGTTAATAAAAGGTTTATTTACAAGGGAAAAGGAAAGAAGGAAAATGTGCAACTCAGGGAGAAAATAGGGAAATAAAGTCTTTAATGCGTCCTACCCCATCCACCGACCTGGAAACCCAAAGGCACTCTCAGAGCTGGCCGGACGCTGCGAGCTGGTGGAGAGCCAAAATGGGGGACCCCCTCCAAAGCCCACGTGTCTGGCTTTATACCAACCTGGCTGCTTAACCCCACCCTCAGGTCCCAGCCACCTTCCCTTTGGTGGTGATGGGATTTGGAGTTCCCAGTGTCTTTGGCTTTGGCCTGGGGTGGGGGTGGAGTCCACAAAGCCTGTATGGAATTAGCTCAGGACATCCTTTCCCCCTAACAATTAGACTGAACCAAGTGTGCCGTGAGCACGCAGGAATGTTCACTGCGAACGGAGTGCATGGTGGGGGAGGCTGAGAGAGTCTGTTCGCCTTAGCCAGCCCCGAAGCATCCATCTGGATGAAACCACTCGTGGTTCTCGAAGTGCAGCCACACACCTCTTTGCCTTGTCTGCTCGTGAAGTGTGCTAATGTTTAATTGTCCTTAAACACTACGCCCTTGTTAGAGGCTCATGCATTTCTGTCCAAGGGAACTTTGATACACCCCTGTCCATGGAAAATCCGCCTCTGCCTCTCTTCCCATAAAAAGAAGGTTCTAGTAAAAGTGAAAATAGCAAAACAAAACCCCAATTAAACTTTATTTAGGTGTTGATTTTGTTGAGCCTCTGGGGAGACTCTGAGCCCCAGGCCTGCTAGGTCCAAAGGAGATCACATTTCAGCCTTCTCCATGCGCTCAGGAGCTCAGGCCTGCAGGGAGGTGTGGAGGGAGGGTCCCCCCAGGGACGGGGAGATGGAAGGATGCGCCCATCCCTCACGCCCCTTCCTCCGGCCTCCGCAGCGCTCGGAAGCGCCCCATCCCCTACTACCGGCCCAGCCCCTCGTCGTCCAGCGGCCTCAGCAGCTCGTCCTCCTGGTACAGCAGCGGCAGCAGCCGCTCCGCCAGCCGCAGCTACTCCCGGAGCCGCAGCCGCAGCCGGAGCCGCAGCCGGAGCCGCAGCCGGAGCAGGACCCGCTCGAACAGCAGCTCCAGCTCGCGCAGCCCCAGCCTGGGCTCCCGGAGCCGAAGCCGGAGCTCCAGCTCCGCACACAGCTACTGCAGCACGAGGCGCTAAGCCGGGCCTCCCTCGAGCCAGCTGTCCCCAGGGCCCCTTTTACTTTGCCAGCCTCCCCCACCCCCTGCCCACCCTGCCCTCTCCCTGGTGACAGACAGCGAGGCTTCCTGGACCCTGTCCTTCCTCCCGCTCTCCTGGGGAGGAGGAGAAGAGGGTTTGGGGGGCGCGGGGCTCGGGCCTGGGTGTGGAGCTGCGCGCAGCCTCTGCCGGGCGGGCAGCATCTGGGGCTTGGCTCAGGTCTGGGCATATGGAGAGATGCACCCTCTGTTGGCACAAAAAGAAAAACTCAAGGTTTCCTGAGAAGCAATGGGCCCAGGACTCAAAAGTTGGGGCCCGCCCAGGAAAATGTCAGGACAGCTCTGCTGACCCATTGCGCATAGGAGGCCCCTGGGGGCCAGTGGGATGCCCCCCAGGGCCCTCCTTCCCTCCTTCAAGCTCATGCTGCCTGTTCATGGACCCCCAAGAGGGATGGGGGTGCTGAGAGGAGAGGAATGAGAGGGTAGTTCAGGCTCAGAGCAGGTGGGAACTCTCACCCCTGCAAACAGGCCAGAGTTCAGACTGGAAGACCTGGGTCCTAGCCGCGGGCACTCGGGCGAGTAGGGGACATGGGCATTTCAGTTGGCTCCCAGGTCATGAAAGGCAGAGGTCAGTGCCCTGCTCTCCGTAGCTCAGCACGGTCAGCAAAAGCTGCCGGTGGGTTCCAGCCATGGAGGGGCCACCTCATGGCTGACACAAACGGCCTCTTGGCTGTGCCCAGGGACCCTGTGACCTCACTGAGAGGACACAGTGGCAGTTGGGACAACGTGGTGTACAGCCCCACTTCCCAAATTTGCCTCAGCCCCACTGGCTGGCACCCGCTAATTGCACGGGACCATCTGCTGAACATTCCCCAGTGCCATGGCCAGCTGCCAGTCCCCAGCGCCAGGCAGTCTGGTCTGATCCTCCCTTTGGCGCCTGCCTGCCCCCTCCCCACTGCCAGGACTGCCAGAGCCTGGAACCTACCCAGTGCAGCCAAGCACCCACCCGCCCTCCCTCAGCCTAAGCCACCCCCTTTGCCTCTCAGGAATTTTGCCAGGTTGGGGCACAGCAGCTCAGTTTTGGGGAGAAAGACCCAAACCCAGAGAGTCCTGGGGGAGAGAAGGGGGCTTGATGCTCCATAGCTTGGGCTCCCACTGGCTTCTGAGGTTGCTCATCAGCTTGGGAAAGCCCCACCTTCGTCTCTGCCCTCACCCCACCTTTCCCCTGCCCAGGGCTGGGCAGAGAGGGTAAGTTGATCTGTGCCACACAAATGCCACCAGCTGCTTCATCCGCGGGAGGCACTGAAAACAGGGCCATGAGGGAGAAGAGCCTTAAAATAAATCTTGGGCATCCCCCTCACCAGCTGACCAGCTTTCCGGAGCCTGTGGGTGAGTTTCAAGTTTGTGGTGGCAACTGCAGAGGTGGTGCAGGGCCTGGAGGAGAGGGCCAGAGGGGACATGTCCAGCTGTGAATCTGGGGCTGTGGGGGAGCAGGGACCACAGTCTTGATCCCTCAAAACCCAGGGACAATATTTGGAACAAATCCCCTTCCTCTCCCCACCCTCCCCATCACATCAGCCTGTGGGATGGGAAACTGCCCTGCAAGCACCCCAAATGTCCTTCTCCTACCAGGAGAGCAGAAGTGGGGCCTGTCCCCCTCGAACGACGGATGCCACGGCTGTCACCACGGGAGGCTGGTGGCAGGTGCTGGCATGGGGCAGGTGCCTGGGAGGGCATGTACAGCAACTGTAAATAACCCCCTTCCCCGCCCAGGAACCCGAACTGGACTCGTCTCTCTTCACGGAGACAAAGGCTTCCCAAGCCACAGAACCTCCTTAGCAGGACAGCAGTGGGGGGTCCAGGAATCCCCCCTGCAGATTGCCTTCACTCAAGCAACTCTAGGGGGCCATTTTGCCTGGGGCTCCTAGCAAACCTTTTATTTATTTAATTTATTTATTTATGTTTATTTATTTATGTGATGACTCTCTCACTCACTTGCCATTAGCAGTATTCGACTATTTATTTATTTATATGGAGAGGTTGTGCGTGTGTGTGTCTCTGTGTGTGTGTGTGTGTGTGTGTGTGTGTGTGTTGGGGGGTGGGCAGAAAACGTGTCCATTATTTTTGGCCATCTCTTTTTTTTCCTCGTTTCTCCACAGATGGGGTCTGAGGGGCCAGGTGTGCGTGGGGGGCGGAGGGACATTGGCCTTTTTCCTGAAGGTGAGACCTGGTTTGCTCTAAAGCCTGAATGTGCTGTAGATGGCCTCGAAGAGGCCAGGTCAATGAGGTCAGGCCTGCGGCCTAGCCCCTTACCCACCCCCGCCTCCCTATGTATCAGGAAGATGAGAAGAGCCAAGAGCCCCTGAGCTAAGCCACTTGAGTCTACACGGCAGAGTCACAGCTTAGTGGGGGCTGGAGTCTAAAGTTAGCGCCTGAGGAAAAGCCAGCAGAGCCGAAATTGCCTGTGAAAGTCCTTTAGGGAGGCTCCTAGTTGGAGACAGAAGTGTTACCTCCTGGTGGACTGATGAGGCTTCCGTTAGTACTGATTGAAGTAGCTGCCTTGCATTCGGGGGCCACAGTGGTTGAAAATAATGTCACTTTAACGTGTAGGCCCCACTTGGAGCAGAGATGGAGCTGAGGGAAGGGAAGACACCGCTCCACCCCACCCTTGCCCCAGGGCTTGCAGGAGTGGCGGGTCTCAGCCCTGGGCTGCCCTGGAGCTGACTTCTCCACACCCCCTGAGGCTCCCCAGCTGTGCTGTTCCTTCTGCAGTGGACACACAGTCCCTTGCAAAAAGCCACCAGCCACCGCGGAGAGACACACAACCCCCCAGCAACGGCTTGATATTCCATTAGGGAGGGCACCCAACTCTGCAATTAGGGAGAAAAAGCAAAACCAAGATGAAAGATGAAAGCAGCAGCTAAAGGCCCCCCACCCCAAGAAGTCTTTTTGGAGGCCATCCTGGGAACCAGGATCCAGAGGCCTTCACCAGGCCTGGCTGGCTGACCAGCTGGCAGGGTCTCCTGGCTGCTGACCAGAGAGGGCCGCTGTCCTTTCCAAAGCCGCCAGCTTCTGTCTGGAAGCTGCCAGCTTGCGTGGTCCAGGTTTGGTGAGAGACTTTTGAGACCGCTGTTTCCCTGGCAATGTGACTTTACCCTGCGCTGGCCCCTGCAAGGGAGTACCCCTCACCGAGGAGGGTTTGCAAGATGTTTAAATGCCTCCTGGGGGACATCTCTGTTCCTCCCTCTCACTTGGGGAAGTCTCTAACTTCCTTTCAGTTTCCTTTTTTCCATCCAAATATGAAAACTCCTGTTGGGGCACTGGTAACCTTGCCTATCCAGACCCCCAATCCCTGGCATTGCTGCTCCTTGGCCAGTTTCATCCTCATCACCTTCTGCTTCCAAGGAATCCCATCACCTGAAACCTGCTCATGGTGGGGGCTTACTGAAAAATCAGCACCCCAAAATGGAAGCGGGGTGTGGTTTGAGGTCAAATGACATATAGTCCAGACCTCTGTGATAGATGTTCCCCAAATGAGTGCACCAGGGAGCAAATTCCTCCCTTACTCTGAGGCAAAGTTCCCACTATAAGGGGCTTTTTGAGATAAAGTCAAAAATGTTGACCTAAGACCTGGGAAATTCTTTTTCGACAGAGAGAGTTCATGGAGACCTAGAAAAGGAAAACACTCACATGTTGAGGTGGTTCTGTCAGGAGAGTCAAAACTAAGGGCAATATGTGAATTCCCTTTAGTCCATTAAGAAAAGCTGCCAAACTCAAGACCCCCACCCAAGAATATCATTTCTGACAGCATTCCTACCTATTTCTTCCCTTTGTGGGTGGAAAGTTAATCAGAAGCAAATCAAAATTAAAGTGTTTGAAAGACACAGGGTGTGAGTCTCAGAAAGGCCCTTCTGCTTCATTTGCTCAGACCCCATCCGCATAAGGCTTTGCCTGAAGTGGATGAAATTTAGGATGCTTCCAAAGATTCAAAAGCACATTTTTCCTTCTCATAGCTCCCTTCCCTCTTTCTTTCTGGTGCGTTCATTTCCACGGCTATCCACATTACCCTGCATGCCTTGCTTTTCTCTCCAGCTGAACATAAAGTTCCGTCTAATATACAGGAAAAAAAAAAAAAAAACAGGATCCCTCAAACCACACCCTTTTCCTCCACTGGCCAGCTGAGTTCAGCTAAGGATGTGTGCATCAAGCAAAGCCCTTCTGAGACCCTCACCACACAGATAAGCCTAGGACAAGGGGTGGACGGCTCCCCTCCCTCAGTGGCTGCTTGGGGTTTTCTTTTTGTTTGCTTCTCCAGGGTTTTGTTTCAGTAGTTGTTTTACATTGTAAATACCATGATGGGGTTCCCTCATCAGAACATGGCTTATTTAATAATTTATTTCCTATTTATTGGGTGGTACGGGACAGGAGAAGGACCACCCCTTCCCCTGAATTGCATTGCGAATCAGTCCACCTCGAGGCTCCGGGTGCAGCTGTCTGCAGTGGGGGGCATTATCATCCAGGTAATGAGTGCTAGAATCACCCAGCAAATTGGAATTGGCAGAAACGGAGGCTTCAGTCATACAAATTAAGCTCAAATGGAACTAAAACACTGGTTATCTCCGGGAAAACCTCATTTAGATGGAAATTAATTGAGGAATAAAATGCCTGCACACGAACCAACTTCTATTAAAAAGTCACAGCTCCTTGAAAGAGAGAGAGAGATGTAATCCCTTTTCTCTGGCCAAAAAAACTATGTCTCATCTTCTAACGAGTTGAGACAGAGAGTCTGGAATGGCATTGCTTTATGGTTCTCTTGCCTGTGTGTGTCTGCATGAAATGGAATGAGCCCCAGGCCTCAGTCTTAGCATCTGTAAAATGGGGCTTGGCCTAAGTGTTCCTGGCCCAGAGGCGGGAGGAGAGTCTGACTCTGATGTTGTGAACTCCAAACTGTCACCTCTGTGGTCCCCTGTGTCTTGTGCTGAC